TGTGCCAGTTAACCACACACGCTTCACTAACGTTTGACAAGGGTACAAAGTGTAATTCCATGGGTTAGCATACAATTTCACATTTTTTCCTAAAGTAACTATGATTTGGGAATTTGAAAAAGCATTTAGTTACTTTGTACTTTATTATACTTATAATGGAAGGTTTCTGTCCTATCCTACCCGTTCGGCTAACGACCCTCCACTAGTCAAGAGTGCGGTGGGTAAGAGTGGATACCCATTCAATCGCCATTTTATAGGCAATTTCCTTAAACACCCCTTATAGACCAGCCCTCGTGAATGAGGCCTACTAACGGTAAGACTGACTGTTTACTCATACATATATATAATATTAGACTTTTAATGTTATATATAGTATAGGGTGTATTTTACACTTTTAAAATACTAGGCGGTTTAATTTAGTAAAATTATACTTTTAATTCAATTAAATGTAAACCAAAACTTTATGGGTTTATTAAATCACTTTTAATTATACACTTTAATTAATTAATAAAACCATAAGGGTGTGATTTGAACTTTTCAAAATACTAGGGTTTTAGAATTTAACATTTCAAAATTAAACTTTTAATTAACTTTTAAATTTTAAAAACTTGAGGGCAAGTTTTGAAACATTTCAAAACATTAGGGTTTAGAATTTAAATATTTCAAAATTAAACTTTTTAATCAAAAATTTAAATTCCAAAACTTGAGGGCAAGTTTTGAAACTTTTCAAAACATAAGGGATCAAATAACAAATAACATAAATTAAACAATTAATTTGGTGATTATCTATATTTGACCTAATCTCATTTTATTCATAAGATAATTACCAAAAAAATTTAAATAATCCATATTTATCATATAAAGAAACTATTAGTTAAAAGATTTGAAATTATCTTTTGTTTTATGAAGGATAATCACCCAAATATAACAAAAATCGGATTTTATCATCAAAATACGTTTTTTGTATTAATCCTTCAGCAAAATAGCAAGAAATCCCGATATTCCCTCTGTCTGACCCCTGGACTCGCCGAGTCAGGGACTGGACTCGCGGAGTCAGACAGACTCGCCGAGTCAGGTCAGACAGAGGTCAAAAAAATGTTTTTCAGCAAACAAAACAGTTAAGCATCACATACAACTGAAACCAATCAAGGCTCTGATACCACTGATGGGTTTTAGGCATAAGAACAATCCTATGTGCTCATACAAACCCTAATGCTTGGATCGAGGTTTCTCTATTGTACATGCTTTGAATCCAAGACTAACAAACTTAGATCTAACATATTATAAACTAAATTAGGGTTTAGAGAATTACCTTTGATTGTTATATAGCAATAACAATCAATTCCTTGCTTGGATTGGCTTCAAAAGCTTAGTGCCTCAAATGCTGCACCTCTAATGGAGTTACAAACACCACTAAGCAACTTGGATGAAGAGGGAAGAGAGGGGAGGCACCAAAAACGGTTGGAAACCCTAATGGAAGTGTTGTCCACGTTTTTGGGGCTTAAGGGTCCTTTATATACATGTAGGCTATTAGGGTTTACAACCAGGAAACCCTAATCTGATTGCTTAGGCCCTAAGCAACCCATGGACTCCTTAAACATATCCCTTGGACAATTTCTAATGGGCTTCCCATAGAATTCGTCCAACCTGTATATTATTAGGTGATCCATAGCCCAATTATAATTATCTTATAATTACAACTTCAGTCCCCTAAGTTTAATTAATCTCTTTTAGCCACAAAATTAATTATCAATTAATTCTTGACTAATATTAATTAAACAATATGATTTCTCCTTTAATATATTATTCTCATAATATATTAATAAATCATATTTAAACCTCTCTCTCCTTAATTCATCCTACATATTGCTATGGTGAAGGCAACCCAAAAGGACCATGCTCATAATCGGGTCAAGTACATACCAAAATAGTTATGGACTTAGACACTAATCCAACAACAAACACCATAAAGTTTGCACCTTTAAGCTAGAAGAGGCCACTAAACATCCAGATCTACAGCTTTGACATCACAAATGGTCTTGACACATCAAGACCTTCAAAAAGGGACCAAAAAGACCAAAACAAGCCCAAAAGGAGATCTAAACAATAGATGAGCAAGGTATGGAATTTATACCTCAAGAAGCTCCCTAAGATGAAGGAAATACTGGATCTAGAAGCTTCACCACATTCAAGAATTGTACCACAAGCTTTTATTTTTGCAAACACACCCAAAAATGACTTCCTTTTTGACACTCTAAGGTCAAATTCACTTCCAATGGAAATTAGGGTTTCTAGGGGCGCTGAGAGACAAAGGAAGCTGATAGAAATGAGGTCCAAAGATTATAAGATGGTTTAAATAGGGCACAAGACCACAACTTAGGGTTTTCAATCTAGGCAGCATACGCCTCGCGTACTAGGCTCCGATGCCCGATGAATTTGTGCCCTCGTACACTAAGCGTACATGCACGTACGCCCCACTTACGAGGGGAGGGTTTTCTTGACAAAAACTTGAACTTAAACAAAAAGAAATATACCTAGATTTCGGATGTTACAACTCTCCCCCGCTAGAATTAGACTGTGTCCTCGAAGTCTGCTGATGCGAATAAGTTTAAGTAATGCTCTCTCATCTCGTCCTCCGGATCCTAGGTCCATTTGGAGCCCCTTCGGTGCTGTCATTGCACCTTTACTAACTTCACTACTTTGTTACGAAGAGCTTTAGTTTTTCTATCCAGAACTGCAATGGGCTTCTCAACATAGTTCAAGCTCTCGTCCACTTGAATGACATCCAATGAGATAACTACAGACTCATCAGATACACACTTCCGTAACTGAGACACATGGAAGGTGTTATGGATCTGACTGATCTCATCAGGGAGATCCAACTGATAAGCAACCGTGCCAACTCGGGCATAAATCCTGAATGGAACAATGAATCGGGGACCCAACTTGCCCCGCTTCCAAAAGCAGATGACATCTTTCCATGGTGACATCCTCAACAATACAAAATCTCCTACCTGAAACTCGAAGTCCAATCTGTTAGGTATTATAAGCATCAAATACACTCTATAATTGGTAGCGGAAAAATCGAAACAACAAAACGATATACCTAAGTGTACATGCAACCTATGGATCTATGGTTTCATACTATTACATCTACCCTATGATATCAAAAATACAAAGAAGAATCACATACATCTTTAGCAGCTAGAGATCTTCATGTGTTGACTCCTCGTGCATGCCACCTTGTTTAGATGATAAGGACCCAAACTAGAATCCCTCTCTTGTTTCACACTCAATAAACTCAAAAGAGTAGAATCAAAAATATAAACTATGAGGGGATAAACTATAATGAAAGTTCTTCCACAAGGAGGGAGAAAGAAGGTGGTGAATAACTCAATCCAAGAATAAGCAAGGAGGAGTGAATCCCTAAGGCCCTATTTGTAGCCTTGGATACCTCCTAGGGTTTTATCCTCAAGCCCATGTAGGATGGGATAGCCCTAGAACGAAATTCCCTTTCTCCAAAGAGAATTTTCGTTCACAACCTTCCTTCTAAGGTTCTGGAATGTTCCTGATTAACCAACTATTGATTAATTGATATTCAACCCTTCTATTAATTAAACTATTAATTAATTCCCAAATTATTTTCCAATTAGTTTCTAATTGATTATTAAACCATAATAATTAATAAACTATTCCTCCTTTTATTTATTCTACTTAATTTGAGTCTTGAGAGCAACCCAAGAGGACCTTGTTATTATTAGAAATATCACCAATAGTTAATGACCTTGGACATACTTCTAAAAGTCTCCCACTTGGACAAGTCATCAACTATATATGGTCCTACATTTCTCTAATAATCAACCGAGATAATGGCATCCAATGCATCTGCCGAACCCTAATCTAACCAGTTTCAGCCCTCAGATAAGTAAAACATATCACCCGATGACATAATTTAGGGGAACGATTAATTTTTTAAAGAAAGAACCAGTGGCTCGTTTCCCCTCCCCTTGGTATAACTTTTCAGTTGTACTTAAGATTTTTAAATATCCAAGGAAATGAGTATGATTCTCAATTTCCATCCCCGCTGATCACATATATCCGTCATGCTCAAGATGATTAAACACCCACCCGTTCCCGCTAAAAATGTCATAAAACACACACACACACACAGTGGCTAACAAATCTAAAATAACATTTACACGAAACCAAACTTATCATAAAACATATTGTTAATAAATATATAAAAACCGCACAATAAACACATGATAAACATTATGTGTGAATAACCACAGAACATGAAAAAACTCACCTTGTTGGCGTTAGATCTTAACTGGATGTCGTCATGCTACTCGTACTCTACATCCCACCAACAAGTTGTTATAAAGCAATGATCCTAGAAAACAACCTAAGTGATCATTTTGGTTCAACCATCATTGTGTCTCATTCAACCGATTATTAACAATTATCATGTAATACTCTTCCCAAAAAAAATACTAAAAAAAATACATAAATTAATTAATAACTCAAAGCTGAAATATTTTATGGCACCTTTCGTTAAATCCACAAATAGTTTTACATCTTAAAGTACAAAGGTCAGGGCTAAAATCCAAATATATTAAATCTCTAACTTTAAATAATCAACAAGTAATAAAACTCAGGGTCTAGACATGTAACTTCGATATCTTTGGATTATAGCCTAAAATAAATAAAATTGAAAGTTCAAGCGCTAAATGTATTTTGTAGTTACTTGGAGAAAATGACACATATTTGAGTTTGGAATCACACAAAAATATGTTAACAGTGGGTCTGAACTCAAATTCACCATTCACAGTTTTACAAACAATTAGTTTTCACTTTTTGTAAAAGAAAACTTAGGGATTGTTTGATTTCAACTTACTGGGTCCGGTCAGACTGTTGACTCGGTCAACAGTCCGGATGTTGGATAATCGCATATTATAGCCGAATCGGTCAGCATTGTTGACCCATATCTCTTACTCAGTATGCCCCAAAAAATTGGCTTACTGGAAAATAAGAAGCCCAAAACTCGTTATTTCCTTAGATGCCCTTGTCGATCCCTAAACAAAACACGTTCAACAGTTGCTAATCCGCATTTACTTCTACCGACGATTTCACCTCCCGCCATCTCCTCCAACGACGACCTCCACAGCGCCGACGACTCCTCCATTGCACCAACGACGAGCTCCACTACAAGTAAGATTTCTGCATTTTTTTTCTTGAAATCACAAAACCGTTAATGTCTCTTATAAAGTTACTGATTTCATTATGAAATCAAAGTTTGAAATTACTGATTTCATTCTTCTTGGATTGAAACGGTTTAAAGGGTGTGCATAAAATCAATTGCTAATATATATATATATATATATATATATATATATATATATATATATATATATATTTGTGTATGAAATTTGATTTTATCTATATGAACTAATGAATATTTGTGTATGAAATCTGATTTTATCTATATTAACTAATGTGTGATTTTAATATGAACTAATGTGTGCATAAAATCAAATTTTAGGTAGTTGAAATTAGAAAATGTTGAATATATTGTACATGTTTGTATGAAATCAGAAATCAGAAATTGTTATTTGCTTATGAAATCAAAATTTATCTGTATGAAATCAAAATTTATGTTGTATATGTTGTTAAAAATGTGATGAAATCAGATTTATGCTTGATTTATGTTTGTAAATATGTGTTATGTTGATGTTTTTTTTTATTTTTTTTTTAATTTTTACAATAGACATGACAGATAAAAGAACTAGAATTAGTTGGAAGTCAGAGATTGTGGACAAACTTTTTTGGAAGCATGTATACACAAATTAACAAGTGATGGCCGAGAGGGTAGTGGCCTAAAAGCAAGCTCATGGACTGTAGTCGCGAATATATTGAAAAAAGATCATAATTTTGTTGTCGACAAAAAACAAATTAAAAATCGATACGACTATTTAAAAGCAAAGTATGCAGTGAGGTTAAAACTTAAAAATAAAACCGAAAATCTTTATAGTCCCATAATGAATTCTTTTAACATGACTAATGAAGAATGGGAAGTGAAAGTGAAGGTATATATATATATATATATATATATATATATATATACACATTTTTTATAATTAGATTATTTTGTTTTACTACTTTGATAATATTTATTACATTTTCAAACAGTTGAACAAGTATGTAGATAAGTTGAGAAATGCACACCTTCCCTTGCCAAGATCTTTGTACCTAATTGTTTGATGGAGCGACGTCGACTGGTGTTCACAGTTGGGGTCCATCTTTGACACTACCTCGTCCCAATGAAGTGTTTACTATACATGATTTTGAGGATATAGTGATGGAAGAACTAGCACCTCATGCAGATACCCCAAGCTCAACATTACCCTAACCTACTAGTGCTTCACCTGCTCATCTAAGCGGAAAAAAACCAAGGGGAGCAAACAAAATGGACCCAAGGAAACCACACTTGATGATGATGTGAAAGAAGTTGGTAGAGAAATAGTTAAGGCTGCACATGCATTCACGCAATCAAATAATCTTAACAAGGAGATGGATGATTGTATGGAAAAGTTGGCAAGCTTAGATTGGGGAGAATATGATCTGAAATACACCACTGCTCTTATGTTATTTGCTGAAAGTACGGGTAATAGGAAAATTTGGTTGCACCTTAACTTGTCGACTTGTGAGTCATGGGTAACAAATGCGGGAAGAAAGTTTGGATTAGTTGCTTGACTTTAATTTGTTATGGTTTATTGTTTGAATTTAGTATGTTATGGTTCATTGTTTGAATTTAGTATGTTATGGTTCATTGTTTTGAATTTAGTATGTTATGGTTCATTTGATGAATTTTAATGTTTAGAGTTGTTATGTGTTAGGGATTATTTTGTTAGGTGCAGTTATGATATATGAATTTTTATGTTATGGAATGTTATGTGTTTAGTATCTGCATGTTACGGTTTGTTATGTTGTGGATTGTTATGTTATTGATTGTTATGTTATTAATGTAGATGTAATTTGTATTTGACATTTAACTGGTCACATGGATAAACAAGGTGAATTTTTATATTTCCTTATATTCTCGTGGTATTGGTTGATGTTGGTCAAGCAAAGGCAAAGAATAATTAAAAGAATAAGCGCTAGTGAACCGGTAGCAAAGGAGCATGTGTATACACAATATTTGATACACGTATGTCATACACAATGTTATGATATGATGCTTCTTTCACAAGATGAATTTGTACTATTATGCAATCATTTTACACAAAGAAATTGGTTGCAATGTAATAGGATGATAAGCGTTGAAGAGAAGATGAATATGTTTTTACATGTTATAGGACATAATGAACGTTTTCGAGAAGCTAAAGAAATATTTCATCACTCTACACAAACGATTCATCAATATTTTCATGACTACGTGCAATGATGCGTTTTGCTAGAGAAATTATAGTACCAACCTCATCTAATCCAACAAGAAGTACCTCAGAACGAAATAGACGGCTAATACACATATTTCCCGGAGCAATAAGTTCACTTGATGGAACACTTATACATGCAGTTGTGCTCGTTGATCAACAAACTCGCTACCGGGGGAGAGGAAAAGGTGAATGTTATCAAAATGTAATCAGAATTTGTGATTCTGATATGATATTCACCTTTGTATAGGCTGGATGGGAGGGCATAACACATGATTCTAAATTTTTGAAAGAAGATGCATTTAATCCGACTTCTAGATTTCCATTCCCTCCACCTGGTTTGTAATTTTTCTATAAGTTTTATTATCTATATTATTTATATGATAAATTTATCAATCATCAACAGATAAATATTACCTTCGCGTTGCCGCATACACCAACACCCGTGGATTTATGGTTCCCTACTGTAATACTAGGTATTGGTTAACGGATTTTCGAAGAAACGGAGCTTTAACTAAAGAAGAAAGGTTTAATCATGCTCATGCACACCTTAGAAATATCATTGAACGTGCTTATGGTGTATTGAAGGCGAGATTTCCAATTTTAAAACAAATGGCTCCTTATCCTTTTCTAGTGCAAGGAGACAAAGTCATTGCTTGTGTTTTGGTCCATAATTTTATAAAAAAAATACAATATTCAAGATGACTTATTTACGAGCTTTGAACAAAACACTATGGTTACATCCAGATGTGGAAGGTGGAGGAAGTGAGGGCCAAAACATACAAGGCATAAAATGGGGTTCAGAATCCGTTGACTATATGACTACTTTGCATGATCAGATTGCTAATCAGTTACTTTCAAATGGTTCACGTTAAATGATGTACTTTTTTATTATGTATGACAATTTGTATTTGGATTTTGTATTACGCTTTGTATTTGGATTTTAAATGATGTATGTTTAATTTGGATTTTATGTGATAATTTGTATTTTTATAATTATTTTATCCAGCCCAAGGAACAACACAAGGGTAATATGGTAATTTTTATCATTCAGCACAATCAGTCAGATAAATAATCAAACAACATAAACTCAGTCAGATGTGGACTTAGTCAGCATTTCTAACCCGGTCAGCTTCTAACACAGTAACTCTAACTCAATCAGCAACTATCAAAAGACCCCTTAATTGGTTTGACCCTTGACCCATTTATCCAAAATCAATTTCACAATACCCGAATTCATCTTCTTCTTTACCCGAGAAAACATATTCTCTGCCATTTTTAAATTGTTGAAGTTTCGACTTCACTTAAGACAATATAAATTAATTTTATAAAAATTACCACCATCTATGGCCATCATTTACTAACAATTATCCATAAACAACTATCAATTTATGCTCCAAACCAGTGTGAATTCAAGCCATTATTTACAAAATCGTTTCTTAAAAATCATTGTCAAATTGCTATCGGTTAGATCGAACTGAGACAAGAGGTTGAACCAAAATACATATGGCATGTATATAATTCTATCTAAGCAACTTGACATTTAAAATTGAATTAGACAGAATATTCAATGTATTTTCTAATTCTATAAATTAAGGTGCTTGGGTAGGAGATGCACTTGACATGGTTCAGGATAGTGTTGTAGATTCTTTCAATCAGTTAAGTTTAACTATTCAAGTATTGATTTCTTTGTTTATAATTAATTAAGTGTTTTCATTCATTCACAATTTTTGTAAACTAATTTGTGCTCTTAAACTTGTTTACATTTGTTTTAGTGAACGATGTTGTTATTTTGAGATTACTAAAATGGTATTGTAGCAGCAAAATCAGCTTTATATCTCCTTTTAGGATTAGGATAAAATCGTGTTTTCTTCTTTACGATGATTTTATCTTGATAACTCTGTTTTATGTTTTCAAACACTGATTCGGTCCTGAAACAGAGCAATGTTTTCTCACTAGTTGTTTCTTTCCTTCCTGAGGTTCAGTCCACGGTGTCAGTCTTTTATTTTTGTTTGCAACACTAAATTTCTTCGGTCTTCTGATAATGGTTGAGTTTGGAAGTAACAGGTCAAACTGCCGGCGGTGGTGGAATAGCCGGGGAAACAATCAAAACTTCCCTGCACTACGTGGAGCCATCTGGAGCATGCAATATGGACCCTGCAGCGCAGACGTTGGTCGATGGTAGGTATCCTTGTGGGCATGAAGAGGTTGTGCCGTTGTGGGTCTAAACAAGGGGATTCATATCTATAAAGAATCCTTGAAGATCGAGCCTGATCAAGAAAACCCTGGAAAATACCTGGTTGAATTCACTTATGATGCCTATGGCGCTGGCAGGTAAAGTATTTATTCTTACATATATAATCATAACCATTGGAAACATTTTCTCTTTGAACTTTTCGTCAAACATCTATGCTTTTCTCCTAGCAGTATTACCCTTCGTTTCGGTGAAAAACTGGGACGCGGCTATAACGATGATCTAACAAAAGAAGACCTGATTCAACCAATCACAGTGAATATCAAGCAAGATTTGGGCCAGAAATTCAAACAGGAACCTGGGACTGGAATCGATTTTTCCTCATATACAGTAAGTAAAACAGAGGTATATCTGTTAGCCATTCAGGCACGCATAAGTCCATGTATATCAGAAGATGGAAGTACGAATGGTGGTACTACTATGTCCCAGTTAACTATAGCAGTGTTTGACAAGGAGCAGGATAGATACAAGGTTAGGGTTACAGATCAGACCTTATGGGTGAATGGAGCGAAGTATGTGTTGCATGATAAGGAAGGATTTGGTAATTCTGATGGTGCTGATCTTAATTGGAATGATCTTGGTAAAAAATGTCTCATCTGTTTATCAAAATTTCAAGACACTTCTACCCTTCATAGAGAAGGACGAAAAATTGGAAAGTTAGTGGTTTATGATAAAAAAATTGGGAAGGGGAGTAATGAGACAATTGTATACGAGGGAATTTATGGTGATAAGTCAGTTGCTGTGAAAAAGATTGTAAAGGTGCATCATGATGTGGCATTAAAAGTGATACAAAATCCGCGTGTATCCGATCAACATCCTAATATTGTTAGGTTGTATGGTGTGGAGTACGATCAAGATTTTGTTTATCTTGCTCTTGACAGGTGTATATGTAGCTTACATGATTTGATATTGTCACATGGAAATTCGAGTGCCGAATCTCAACCAACAGTGAAAGTTTTTAAGGATTTGGAATTGTCGAAGCCTAGTAGGTATCCTCCACCGATCTTGTTGACATTTATGAGGTGAGACCATGTTCTTTTTTTCTCTTTCTTTTTCTGTTAAGTGTTATGTGGATAAAGGACGATTAAAACATGGCGAACATAAGAAGATTGGAAGGAAAATATAAGAGGGTAATACATGAAATAGCAATGCAATTTCATTTATTTTTTGATTATAACATCTTAGTTTTATTTTTCCCATTCCAACATTGTCCTTCCTTTTTTTCCTTACTAATACATTGTTCTTTAAAAAATTTACCCAATTATAGCATTGTACTTAATTTTTTTTACTTATTAGGATATTGTACTTACTTTGAAAAGTTATAGCATTATATTTGACATTACTACAATTTGATAGATTTTTCAAAATGTATTGTTGTAATGGCAAGATATGAAAGTAGGATGCTATATTATACAAATAAATGAAAGTACTTCGCTATTCTTGCATTTAACACAAAAATGAATGATAGTAAGTTTGCAAAAAAGTTGGGACTTAATGAGGAAAGAACCGTTTCCCTAACTTATTATATTAAGTAGTTCTTTTTTCCTCCATTAAGTGTTATCTGAAAAGTACTCTCTAGATAAATGGTGATTAAAGATACTTAAATTTTTTCTTGAGAAAACCATGGGAAAATGGAAGCAAAAAAGGAAGGGCTAAATGCTAACAATTTACTTCCATTTATTTGTTTTTTTTTTTTTTTTTTTTTTTTTTGTAGCATCTTACTTTCATTTTTTTGTAGTTTCAAATGTTATATTAACACGTTATACTTTGAAAAATTAACACAATTAAAGCATTATATATATATAGCAATGGGAAGATCTCATTTCCCTAACTTTCTCAATAAGTTGCACTTTGTGTATTAAGTAAAATAGAAACTCATATATAGATTACCAGATTAACCCTTGCCATCATTAAGTTAAAAAGAAACAACTTATTACCTTTTTTGGGGTGATAAATCATAAATTTAACTCTTGTAGAATTTATTTAAACTCATAATATATTTTGGCAAATATAAAATACAGGGATATAGTTGAAGGACTTGGCTATTTACATGGGCTTCGAATCAATCACGGTGACCTAAAGCCTCAGAATGTCTTAATACACAATGATACTTCTAGTGTAGTGAAGGTCTCAAATATGGGCACGAGAAAATACAGAGCTTTAACCAAAAACACAACAGGCAAGTTGTTTTATATTTTCATCATGAGAGATTACTTTAATAATATTTGAATGTGAAAAGTGCAAGAAAAAGAAATATAGTTTACAATTATTCCATGTTATGGCATTATACTTCCTTTTTCTTATTACAACATTGTACTTTCAAAATTATTACTTCTAGTTATAGCATTGCACTTTAGAAAGTTTACCCATGTTAGCAATGAGATTGGAATTATGATGGCATGGCACAAGTTAACATGTTTTTCATGCTATGTCATTGTCCACATAGGACATAAACGGGCGATATTATGCTGACATGGAAAAAATATTTTAATGTTTTTACTCCCTCCGTCCCAAAATTATTGTCCGCAGACAAAAAACACATAGATTACGGAAACATTAATTACCATTAACTTTATTAAATGAAATTACAATTATACCCTTTTGTTGCATTTAATTCTATCGTAGTTTAACTAGTAATGAAGGATATTTTGGTACAAATTTTATTTATTTTTAGAAGTGGACAATTATTTTGAGACAAACCAAAAAGTACACATGGACTATTAATTTGGGACGGAGGTAGTATTATAAAAAACTGTCTATATTTTCTATTTAAAAAATTATGGTGAAGATGAGAGAAAGGACAACTTTTTTTAAATAATTATAATTATGAGGTTCATTTGATATGTCCATTTCATCAATGATGATCTAAATCTTATCATATATGGACAGTTTTTATAAATTTAAAAAAAAAAAAAAAAAAAAAAAAAAAAAAAAAAAAAAAAAACTGCAGGAATATAGTACATGTGTACGTCCTAGTTGGACAATGACATTGCATAAAAAACATATTAACATGTCCCATGTCATCATAATTATAATCACATTGCTATAATGGGTATTTAAAGGGCAATGCCATCAGGAATAATTTGAAACTATAATGCTCTAATAACTAACAAGGAAAGAAAAAAATAGAAATTACTTATATCTTGTATGTTTTAGATAATTGTTTATACTCTATTCCCTTTTCATTTAGGCTGTGGGAGTGGGAGGTGGCAAGCACCCGAGCAACTTAGGAATGAAGAACCAACGCCTGCTGCGGATTTATTCAATTTTGGGTGTCTGCTTTTCTTTTGTATCACTGGTGGTCAACACCCGTTTGGTGACATTATAGATGATCGTGATAATAATATTTTGCATGACATGAAAAATCTGTCACCGGTAGAAAATATTCCAGAAGCCTTTGATCTTATCTCTCGTCTCCTACATCCCGATCCAGAATCCAGGTATGATTCATGTAAAATTATCTAACATTCTTTACAACATGATGAAGTATTGGGAAATTAGTGTAAATAGACTTTGGTCTACTAGTCAAATATCAAAAGTACGTACCATGGGCAGTGTATTGATTAGATTTGCTAAAGTTTATAAGTATATAGGCTGATTTCATGTTTTAGTGCTTTCAACTTGCATTTTTATGTTATGGAAAAATACAGAAAAGCATTTGTATTTTTAACGTAATATCGATATAGCTACTTAACTAATAAACCATTATACATTTTTTTCGTCTAAAAAACAAATATTCACAGTTACTATATTTTGATATGGCAAAGGGTAAAATACAAAAAAAATAATAACAAAAAAAGAAGCCACAACGTACTTTTATCATATTTAATTTACCAAATCGAAATCACTAATAGGCGAATGTACCGTTAAGCTTTTCTGTATTTTCCCCTTTTATAAAACCAGGTAAACAAAGAAAAACAGACTGTTTAAATTTCCATGTATACTTCAAGAGATTATACCTCTGAATTTGTTCATATTCAGGCCAAAAGCTGGAGAAGTATACAACCACCCTCTATTCTGGGATCCCCAGACCCGTATTTCCTTCCTACTAACAGCAAGTCAAAAAGTAAAACGAAGAAAACCAAATGAGTGTGAAACCAATTCCAATCTCATTGCATCACTCGATAGAAGGGCCCCCCATGTCTTCAGTGGCGAATGGAACACAAAGTTAGACGACACACTCCGCAACGACGTACATCTACATATCAAAAAGTACTATTACAACTACAAAAGCGTATGCCATTTAATACGACTCATAAGGAACAAACATAATCACTATCTAGACTCGCCAGATTTGAAAACTGCGTTAGGGTCGCTCCCCACGGGATTTGATGCGTATTTTAGAAGAAAGTTTCCGAAGCTTCTTATAGAAGCATATAAGTTTTTTAAAGAGTATTGTGGATTCGAAGATCTTTTTATTAACTATTATAGACATAAAGTGTTTCCTTAAATGATAATGATGGTTTTGTCAGAAAACTGACTCTTGTATATAGTTTGTGAAATAGAAAAAAAAAAGGTGAATATATGATAGTCAAGTTGTTTGGTAACTTGTTTATGTTTTATCCTAATACTAGAAAGATATAGCATTAGCATAATACTTTACCCTTGCTTCCAATATTTGTAATTTGTTTTCTATAACTAGTGGTATGCTGGTGCGTTGCGGCTTTCGTTAGTCATATATTTTTGACATTATGTCCTTAATGTTTTCTTAAACATGAACCATTTATGTACTTTCGTCATTACACCGGACCATTACTGTATATTAATCTTACATAGGAACCAGTTTTGTAACTTTCGGTATATATTATTTTTGTAGATTTGCTATTATAGGCACTGTTTTAGTAATCACTATTACCTATGGATGATTTTTGTATGTTTGTCTTACGCAAAGGACTAATACTTGGGAGTTGGGATTTTGTCTCCATGATACCATTGTATGTAATTTAGCTATTGCACCGTGCCGTTTCTCGAACTTGGTCTTATACATACACCATTACATAATTTTTACATAGAGACCATTTTTATAATTATCTTATATGCATGGACAATTAGATAATTTTTCATTGACGATTTTTATAATTTTCTCAAAACATAGGGAATAAAACACAATTTTTACATACAATTTCTCTAATTTTATCAAACAAGGGACTATTATGTATTTTCACAAGGACAATTTCTATAATTTGCTCAAATATAGGGACTTGTTAAATAATTTTACAAGAACCATTTCTGTAATTTTCTCAAAAATAAAAACCACCGTTAAAATATAATTTTACACAAGGAACAATTTTATAATTTTATCAAACAAAGGGACCGTTTTATAGTTTTGTAAGGACTAATTCTATAATTTGACATGACTTCTTGTAAATTAGTTATATTTGATTGTTTTAGCTTTTATTCACAAATTCATTGAAAATGCATACCCTACTGACCTTATGATAAATGCATTAAATAACAATGTATTATATATATATATATATATATATATATATATATATATATATATATATACTATCTTATAAAAAAAAATGTCACTATTTCTATAAATAGATTGAATATAATAATATTATTTTTTAAGACGTCCAAACCATTAAGCTAATAGTATAATTGTACAAGTAATTATTATTAAAATAATATTAAAATTTTGAATTCAACCCAATTTGTAGATATAGCACAAGATACAATTGCAAGTTGCATATGTTTTGACCGGATTCTTTTAACTATTTTGACTCAAATAATCCATTCCCCAGAAAAATTGAATTGATTTCCGATTTTAAGGCATAATCTAAACAAGTCCTCTCTCGCCTCTCCATCACTATCGCTCTCTCTAAAATGGGGCTTTATTTTTCTAGGTTTCTAGCTCTACAGGTTTAGTGTTTTCTTCTTTTTCTATCTTTTTTCAGATCTTTCTTTCTCTGTCTTTCTCGCGATCTTCATCTTCATATTAATGGAGAGAAGTTTGATATGCCGACGACAAATGTAACATCCCATTTAAAATATAATAATTGAATAATAAACCTGGAACCTCGAGAAGCAATTATTATTATTATTATTATTATTATTATTATTATTATTATTATTATTATTATTATATGTTGTTATAGTTCAAAATCAGATAATATTAATGGAGTGTTGGTTTCGGGGTGCCTAATGATATACTTTTGATTTCCGATGGTCAAAAGTGTGAGTTTCGGATTGGTTTCATAAATAATTATGAAGGCAATGACTATTGGGTAGTTGTTTGGGACTTAATATGAAGACATGTTGGAAGCTAAGGGCTAAATGGTAAAATTCGGACTCAAATTGTAAAGAGTCTTGAAGGTAAGGGTTAAAAAGGGAAATTAAGGTTTTGTTTTGAAAGGAAATGGAGAAGGAGGGGTGAGTTGGGTCAATATGGGAAGAAGTTTCATGTGTATCGGGTATTTAACGTAACTTCTAAACCCTAAACCTAAAGCATGTACAACCAACACCCCACTCCCTCTTCATCCTACCAGCCGCCACCCTCTCCCTCGTCCGGCTGCCACCATCCTTCCCACCCGACTCCCTTGCTGTTCCAACCAACCAAGACCGCCATCGACGTTGCCATGGCTGGAGATAACGAAGATTGATGGGTGAACCAGGAAAGATAGTCGTTGTTGTCGTTTCCGGTGGGGGTACGACCACCACAGTTGAAGACAGTGGCGGATCCAGAAAAAATGGTAACTGGGATCCATTAAAATTTGTATTTATAAAAAATTGTTTGCAAAATCACAGATGGAGCATTTTGATGCCTTTGTTTATTAAAATAGCATCATATACTTTTTTCATATATGTAAACCTTGAGTAAGATCACATTGATAAAGGTGGATTTTTTTTTAAAAAATGTAATAGCTCCTTCTTGAGGTTTTTTTCACAATAAATAGGTAGTTTTGTATGTTTAAAGGGTGCAGAAAAACAAGTGGGGACCAGATGTAAAAAGATAGGCAGTTTTGTTAAGTTTTAGAACACAAGGAACAAAGAAACGAAGTTTTATATGTTTAAAGGGTGCAGAAAAACAAGTGGGGACCAGATGTAAAAACAAATGACTTTTTATGGAAAATATATAAGGTGGAAATTACAATCAAGTGGGGTCCATGCACCCCACTTCTAATACTCTACATCCGCCACTGGTTGAAGACCAAGACCGCCGAACGTGCCGCTGCTTCGCCATCATGACATACGCTCCCCTTGACGCTACTAATCTCTTCATCGCCTCTCTCTGAAGACGTTGTTCTTCTCCCATTGTCTTCGCTCGAGCCCGCTTATAGCTACCGCCTGTCACCACGGAGTGACTGAGATAAGTGCGTGGTTCAATTTAGATCGACAAATGGGTTCGTGTTCTAGTAACATGGTGTGTATGGGAGTGTTTTGCTGGCCGAAAAACATGAAGAACCACCATGGCAGCCAACCATGGTGGTTGCCGCTCGTGTTGCGCTTTCTGCCGCCACCGGCCACTGTGTGTGATGGTTGTGTGGGTGTGAAATGGGGTTTAAATGCATGTATTTCAGTTTAATGTTATCTTTGGGTGTTGTTTTGGTGGAAAAGTCACCACCATCGTGTACCACCACCGACCACCATAAGGGTGGTTGTGTGTGTGTGTGTTAATTGGGTATTTCAATGTAAAAACTGTAACCATGTCGGATTAATGAAAAAGAAACTCCTAACCACCACCGTGAGGTGGTGGCTGCCGCCACCAGCCGCCGTGTTGGGTGACGGTGTGCTTTGATTGTGTTTGCACCTTATTTGGGGATGTTTGGACAATGTGTGACCAATGAAACCCTAATGGGCCCAAAGACACCCTAATAGGCCCAATGGAACCCTAATGGGCCAATAAGGCCCAATGTGACTTAAAAGCCCAACCAATGGATTAATGAATTAGGATTGGCTTGGAAAAACCCTAAAGGCATAAAACCCTAACTTAGGGAAATTGATCGGGACACATACACGAGAATGATTTAATAAACTTGAAATATTAAATAATAATTATTGACAACTAACTTAAGGCAATAATGGATTTAATGGATTAAGTCCTTAATGGGTTAAGTAAGAAACACTTAACCCTAATCATCATTTCATGTGAAAACCCTAAGTTTGGGATTATGGGCTTGGACTTATTGAGACCCACATTTAGGCCATTGGAATGGAATCGTGTATTAAGCCTAATCATAACATATGACTTATTTAGTAAAGTAAGGGACTTAATGGATTAAGTCCTTAATGGGTTAAGTGAAAAACACTTAACCCTAATTGTCACTCTATATGAAACCCTAATTTCTATTGGGCTTTGGTAATTGGATTATTAATGGGCCATCCAAGAATAATCATAAGGACTAGAATATGTTGATGGGCTTAAGGTAAGGCCTATATGAGGATGTGGGCCTAATTTGGAAAATTGGGTCGTGGATGGGCCATAATTTGGGCCTTGATGATTATATGATATTGGGCCATTGGAAATGCCAAATGTTTGGGCTGGACTAAGTAGTTAGGCCTTTAATTATGACCATGTACAGGTATGGCCCCAATTTGGAAAATTGGGCCATATGTTAGGCTTTGGCCCATTACTTTGACGTGTGGGCCTTTGGAGTGTTGTTTAGGTGTTGTTTGATGTTCGAACCCAATTATTAATTGGGTGTTGTTTGATGTTGGCAGTTCGGGAATCTGTCAACCAGCATTTGGAGTTTTATCTGTGGGATTTCAGCAGTGTCAGGTGAGTTATCCTCACTATATCAACAGGGTCTAAGGCACCAAGGCCGACCCTTTTGGATTGTTATCCCGATTATAGTATGTTGTTATGATTTGTATGATCTGTACCTGTTTTTTGATTAATTATGTGTTATGCGTATGTTAGATATGTGTGTGTATGTTTGGGCTGAGGCGGTCCTACTTGTGTTGAAGGACAACATACCCTGGGCGGTCCGGATAGGCTGTAGGCCCAACGAGGTGGTCCAGACATGCCGAAGGCTCAGAGAGCGGTTCAGATAGGCTGAAGGCCTGCGAGGCGGTCCAGTCAGGCTGAAGGCTCCTTATGTATACTGTTTGATAGGACTAGTGATCTGTTAGTTCTGTATCCTGATAGATAGGAGGGTATTATGCTTATTGATCTGTTAGATCTGCATCCTGGTAGTTAGGATGGTGTTATGATTGATGATATGTTAGATCGGTTTGACTGTTATATGATATGAGCTATTGTATGATATTTATGTGCACATGTTTGTTTGATTGGGGGTTGGGTTGAGGCTATCCTGCTTTGTGTTGTAGGCCAACATACCCGATGAGCAGTCCAGATAGGCTGTAGGCCCTACGAGGCGGTCCAGTCAGGCTGAAGGCTCATTATGTATGTTGTTCTTTATATGTTATATGATATGGTTATATTTGTATGGCGTTGGTATTTTAGGGAAACTCACTAAGCTTCGGGCTTACAGTTGTTGATTA